TTTCTGATGGCTGAGTAATGTTCCATTGTATATATGGACCACATCTTCTCTATCCATTCATCTGTTGAAGGCACTTGACTCTTAATTTCGGCTCGGGTCATGATCTCAGGGTTGTAAGATTGAGCCCAGCTTCGGACTCCACGCTCAGCGGGGATCCCTGCTTGAGATTCCCCCTCTCCCTCTGCCCCCCCACCCCCGCCAGTTCTCTCTCTTTCTCTCTCTCTCTCTAGAATAAATAACTAAATCTTACAAAAAAATAAAGAACTCCATCATGGGGGGATTTAGAGAGATATAAAAGTGCAATTTTCATATTTTTAAGTTGGATTATCAAGACAAGATTCCTCCTAATAACAAAAGCAACTACAAATACCACCACTTCCTGTGCCCTGAGTAGGTACAGGGCTGTCTGCGAAGTACCTCTTGTGCATTTTCTCCGCTATATTGTTGAAGCCTCTTTAAAACTCTCTGAAGTAGGGGCACCTGGGTGGCTCAGTCGGTTAAGCGCCTGCCTTCGGCTCAGGTCATGAAACCAGGGTCCTGGGATCGAGCCCCGCATCGGGCTCCCTGCCCAGTGGAGAGCCTGCTTCTCCCTCTCCCACTCCCCCTGCTTGTGTTCCCTCTCTCGCTGTGTCTCTCTCTGTCAAATAAATAAATAAAATCTTAAAAAAAAAAAAACCTCTCTGAAGTAGATAATGCAGCATCCAAAAATGAGGCCCAGGGAGGGTCTCTGTCGGGTCATCAGATGTAGCAAATGTGGGTCAGAGAGGCTAAGCACTTGGCCACGGCCAGGAGTGCGAGGGTCTGGACCGGAGTCTACACTATCTGATCCCACAGCCCACAGGCTTACTGCCACCATCTGCGCCTCTTACCTAATCTCTGTCTTGCATTAGATTCGTCTTCCATTTCAACTCTTTTTAAGTCTGCTTGTGTACGTAAATGGAACAACAGCCTGGAAGAAACCAGCGATGTGCGAACAGCAGCCCTCACTCAAACCTCTGGGTGCTGGTCCCCCTGGCTAGTGGAGACCGGGCTAGGACACCAGCAGCATCTAGCACGTGACCCTGACCGTCAACCTTCCTACTCTCACAGCCTCTGACTCTAATGAACTGCTGAAGAGTCTGGTGACATTTTTATCTTTTAATAGATTTTATTTATTTAAGAGAGAGAGTGCATTCGCACAGCGGGGAGGGGCAGAGGGAGAGAGAGAATCTCAAGCAGACTCTGCTGAGTGTGGAGCCCGTCACGGGGTTCAATCTCACGACCCTGAGATCAGACCTGAGCCAAAATCAAGAGTCAGATGCTCAACCCACTGAGCCATCGAGGCGCCCCAAGATTCTGATGATATTTTTTTTAATGATTTGATAGACTAGCCCCCAGCACAGGCCCTGGCACTTACACCTAAATGCTTAGCCAAATTCTGTAGGAATGAAGGAATCCAAGAAAGAATACAAGGGTCCTTCACACAAACACATGACCCAACAAGGCAGTCACCCTCTCCATAAGGCCCCTATGCCCTTGCTTCCTGGCAGAGTCGACCATCTGGTGGCAATAGAATGGGCAGGAAGGGCTTCCGATGGCAGTTACTGTAACGCCAGGAAGATGAACATCAAGCACTTGGTTGACCCCACTGACGACACAGAAGATTCCTGGAATCTCATCAACTGGTAAGCAGGGGGCACTGAGAATTCAACAAGAATGTGTCAGCACGAACTGCCTTTTTATTGACTATGCAACACACAACAAGAAAGAGTTCTATGGGGACCATAGTTTTCTGGTCCAGAGATGTTGTTTGTTTATTATGGTTGGTATAGACGATAAAGACACTGTCACTTAGAAATCCAGCATTCCCACAAGCAAGAAAGGGAAATGCCGCTTAATCGAGCGTGTTCTACTCGCCCAGCTCTAAAATACTAAAACTAATAATAAAATAATAACAATAATAAAATTGAAGCATGGTATATTCTATTGGTCATACAGGACAAATGTATCATGTATACTGTGTTTCATCTTACGAATGCATTAATTTTTAAGTATAAATTCAATACGTGATTAATGCGATATTTTGATTGCTAATAATATAATAATGTGACCCTTTGTGTTTGTACAGAACTTTATCTTTTTCAAAGAGGTTTCACACCAACATATTTTTGAAGCCTCTTTAAAACCCTGGCAAGTAGATAAGGCAGGCAGAGTGTCCAAAAATGAGGCCCAGGAAGTTCCTTGAGGTCACCTAGCCAATTAGTGTTGCTGGTAGAATTAGGAGTCCAGACTCCCAGGACCACTTCCGACATGCTTTTCATGGAATCATGTTGCCTTAATGAATTTCTGAAAGGCTTGACACAACTCCCAGAACAGCGTTCCCCTCCCCTGGGGGTAGGTATAGATCCTCGGGTAATGAAGGCAAGTTTCTCGTTCTGTGTTTAATTGTTCTCTTCGTTCAAACACTTCAGAGTGCTTCCCAGACTCATTAGTCACCTTTGGCTTTTGAGGTTTTGATGAGACAATGAAAGTCTTCCTGGTTGAGTAGAAAGTTTCTGCAAAGCTCCTGGTCTTTCCCAGAAGAGGCCTTGGGTGTGGTACCCACAGCACACTTAGCTTCAGCTTCCTGTCTCTCTGGGCTGGACAGGCCGAGGACTTGAGGGCTGGAGGAAGGAATGCCCAGAGTGTAGAAGGAAGGGGTCTCCAAGTCAAAGGGGCGATCAGGATCAAAGGAGCTGTTCTTCCCCCGCCACATGGACCCCAATCTTTGCTGATCCCCCCAAGGATGCCCCCAAGACCCCAGAGGAAGCAGGTAGAGCTGGCTGTTTGTGCCTTCAAACTGCTCCCTCTGTGGACCTCTGGAGCTTTCTCTTACCCTCAGGAGCACAGGCTTCTCTTGTGGTCCCTACGACCCCCTGCCCAGCAGGGCCACCCCTGTCTTTTCTCTCCTCTGCTCCATCGATACCCCATTCCTCAGTTTCCACAGGCAGCTGGCTTGTCATGGACATGGCACTGACCTTCCACTTAGCACCCAGGTCCCAACCCTCTCGGAGACCCTGGGAGTGCCCTTGAGTGAGGAAAATAAGGCCACAGGCAGGACTGACCTGAGGAGCAAACAAGATTAAATTCATAAAGTACAAAAGAGCAGAGACGGGCACCTGGGTGGCTCAGTCATTAAGCGTCTGCCTTCAGCTCAGGTCATGATCCCAGGGTCCTGGGATCGAGCCCCGCATCGGGCTCCCTGCTCCACGGGAAGCCTGCTTCTCCCTCTCCCTCACTCCCCCTGCTGTGTTCCCTCTCTCGTGTTCTCTCTCTGTCAAATAAGTAAAATAAAATCTTAAAAAAAAAAAAAGAGCAGAGACAGAAGTAGACAAACACCAATATTAGCTTTGTTATTATTCCCCTTCATTCAGCCGGCTGTTGTGGGCCTAGAAAATGATGCGTGTCCGTTCATCTCAATCTGATGAACAGGAGGCTCCCCTGAGAAATCCTCAGGGGGTGGACCTGAGGCACCAGGCCATAGCAACCGTCTGCTTCTTTCGGCTGCGCCCAGGTCTCCGGTGCTCGAGGTGGGGTAGCTCTAGTCCCGTCCACCACCTCACAGTGCATGCTGGCCTCAGGTGGATCTCTTCCACCTGTAGAAACCCACACAGAAAGAGCCATGCAACCGTGCCTTGGACCAGGGCCTTGGGTGAGCCGTTATCTTGAGGCAGCTGACCTCTGACCTACAGAATCCTCCAGAAACATCGGGACACAGGACCAAATGGTGCTCCTCCAGCACCACCATGAGGGCGACAGGCTGCAGGGTTGGTTCGACTTTTTTCATCTTGTGCCTGTGAGGCTGGAGCTGCCTGGGAATTATTTTTAGCCAACTCACCTATCTTCAACACCATTCATTTCACCGGTGAGTTAAATAATTTCTTTTTTTTTTTTTTTTAAGATTTTATTTATTTATTTATTTGAGAGAGAGAGAGAGAGAGAAACAGCATGAGAGGGAGGAGGGTCAGAGGGAGAAGCAGGCTCCCCGCCGAGGCGGGAGCCCGATGCGGGACTCGATCCCGGGACTCCAGGATCATGACCTGAGCCGAAGGCAGTCGCTTAACCAACTGAGCCACCCAGGTGCCCCCAAGAGCACCACCCAGGCGCCCCAGTTAAATAATTTCTAACACCGATTTATTCTAACATTTTTGTTCTAGCATTTATTATGTGGATCAACAAACCCTCAGGTGCTGACGCTCAGACCGGCCTTTAGACCTGGTCTCTTTCACATGCTAACCAACTACCCCTGTGGTTTGTATTGCTGATTCGGCTACTTCACAGGGCGCTGGGCACCCTTCTGGTGTAGACGAAGATGAACTGACACACATATATTTCGTACTCTTTCACCAGAAGCCTTTAAAGTGAAGTACAGATTTGGCCTTGACCATCTCTACCAGTTCCCTGTCACACAGATGGGGCTCACGGCCTTGCAGCCCATCCTGAGCAGGAGCCACACCCCTTCTCCCACGGGCCTGATAGCACCAGCATAGGGGGTGCCCCGTCTGTGACTAGAGAGCGTGACTCTGTAAGGGACATGGCCACACACCGGTGAGTTCCAAACTTCCACTCACTTTTTTTTTTTTTTTAAGATTTTATTTTTTTATTTATTTGAGAGAGACAGCTAGAGAGGGAACACAAGCAGGGGGAGTGGGAGAGGGAGAAGCAGGCTCCCCGCCGAGCAGGGAGCCCGATGCGGGGCTCGATCCCAGGACTCTGCGATCATGACCTGAGCCGAAGGCAGACGCTTAACGACTGAGCCACCCAGGCACCCCGTTCAACTCACTTTTAACTAGAGAAGTCTCTAGAAGACCTGAAGGAGAAGTACATCTCCTGGTTGTCTGAAAATAGACCCCGAGCCAACACTTTTCCCCTCCCTGAGGCAACACAACACATGTGGAGGGGCTGCCCTGCCCCCAAACCACCACCCCCATTCTGCCCAATCCTGTACACTGACTGACTCAGCTCCCCCTCCCTTCAGGAGTCGGTGATGGGGGCAATGAGCTTGGGATGGGCAAAGTCGAGGAGGCTGTGAAGAGACACATTCGAAATGGGGATGTGATCGCCTATGACACGGAGGCTGACTTTGCTGTCACCACTGGTGAGTGCTCAGATGGCGGGCCAGTCAGGCCCGGCTACCCAGGGGAAGGGACCCGGAGGCCTGGAGGCTATCCGGCCAGAAGCTCCCCTCCTCTGTGAGGGGAGTCTCCAGGGCACCAGGGCAAGAAGGGGACCTGGTTCTCAGCCTTTGGCCTCTCATTCAGTCATCCAACAAACAACGGTCCTGGAGTTACGTAGCAAGGGTCGGGCTCCCCAGGGCTCCTGCTCTAGGGGTAGCAGACAGACAAGGAGCCCTACGAAAGAAACACACCAGCTCATGCTACACAGTGCCAAGAGGAAGATGGAAGACAGGGACAGGCAGGCCACTTTAGATCAGTGGTCAGGGAAGGCCTCTCTGAAGCGGGGTCATCCATGCTTTCCTCTGTGCCTCCTGCAGGGTGGAAAGGAAGAGAACCATCTGGTAAACGTTTGGAGGGGGCAGAAGGCTTCCCACCTCCCTTCAAACTTACCTCTGCCGCAGGCTGCCCTGTCCCTCTTTTCCCCGTCAGGACCAACCTTTCCCAGGTCCTTTGAGGCCCCAGCTCTCCATCCTTGACTGCACCACAAGTTTCAGGGATTTTGACAGATACCCAAGAAAGGCTCTCCCATTTCCTCCTCAAAACAGAGCCTGTAGATGAGCAGAAATCCCTGAGGGGATTAGGGCTAGGGTAGGAAAACCTGCACCTGATGAATGGCTGGAGGCTCAGTGTGGACAAGTTTGAGAGTTCAAAACTCCAGGGGGCCCCAGTCACAGGGGGACCCCACACTTTTGTGACTTCTACCCCCATTAGCTCTACTCAGTCCACACTACAGATATCAGAGAAAAGTCCCCTTGTGCTTTAGGGGGTAGAGGGAAGAAACTATTTTGAAATATATCAGAGCACCCCATCCTTTTTTTTTTTAAGATTTAATTTATTTATTTGAGAGAGAGAGAGAGAGAGAGAGCACAAGTGGGGGGAGGGGCAGAGGGAGAAGCAGACTCCCCACTGAGCAGGGACCCCCCCCTCCTCCACCCCGTGCAGGGCTTGATCGCAGGACTCTGAGATCATGACCTGAGCCGAAAGCAGCAGCTCAACCCACTGAACCACTCAGGTGCCCCCAAGAGCACTCCATTCTTTTTTTAAAAATTTTTTATTGTTATGTTAATCACCATACATTACATTAGTTTTTGATGTAGTGTTCCATGATTCATTGTTTGTGCATAACACCCAGAAGAGCACTCCATTCTTAACAAGGCCTGCCCTCAGGAGAAACCGTTTTACCAGAGCCTAACCTACCTGGGGAAGGGAAATACCCAAAAATAGTCAACATGCACCAACAGATGATAATATAAGCAGAGACATGGAAAATCTAAGGAAAAAATGAAGAGATGTCAGAAAGCAAAAACACTGCAACAGAAATGAAGAATGCCTTTAATGGGCCCATTAGCAGCCTGGACACAGCTGAGAAAAATCACCTCTGACCTTGAAGGTATGACAGTAGGAACTTCCAAAACTAGAAAGCTAAGAGAAAAAGACTGGATGAAACAGAATAGAATATCCAAGAATTGTTACGTGTAATGGGAATATCAGAAGGAGAAGAAAGACAGAAAGGAAGAGAAGCAATATTTAAAGCAATAATGACTGAGATTTTCCCCCTAGATTAATGTCAGAAACCAAACCATAGATCCAGGAGGCTCAGAGAGCACCAAGCAGGATAAATGAAGAGCAAAGGTAGGAATTACATCCAACTTCTCCTCAGAAATCACACAAGCCAGTAGAGTGGCATGCAATATTTAAAGTGTTGACAGAAAAAAACCACCAACCTGGAATTCCGTGCGCTGTGAAATTATCCTTCAAAAGTGAAAGAGAAAGAAAGAGTTTCTCAAACAGGGTATTTGTTGCTAATAGACCTGCCTTGCAGGAAACATTAAAAGAAATTATTTAGGGAGAAGGAAAATTGCATAAGTTAGAAACTCAGATCTACACCAAGAAGGGCATTGGAGAATAAATAAATGAAGGTAAAATAATTTTTATTTTTCTTGTTCTGAATTGATCTAACAGATAACACTTTGTTCAAAATAATAATAGCAATGACTCTTCAGTTATGCTCATGTATATAAGTGAAGTGGATGACAGCAATCATACAAGGGATGGGAGGGAAGAATGAGGAATATTTTGTCTAAGGTGTTTGCCCTAACTGTGAAATGGTTGTTTGAACGTGAACTTGGATTTGTTGTAAATGTATGTTGCAAACTCTAGGGCAACCACTAAAAAGAATTTTTTTTTAAAGAGGTATTATTGATATGCTAAGAAATGAGAGAAAATAAAATCCTATAAAGTGCTCAATTAAAACCACAACAGGCAGAAAAATGGTGGAAGACAAAAATGGGGGGGAGCGGAAAGAGCTAGGGCAACAAACAGAAAACAGTAAAAATGTGGCAGATATTAATACAGCCATATCACTAATCACCTTAAATGTCAGTTGTCTAAATACCCCAATTAAAAGGCAGAGATGGTCAGAATGGATAAAAAAACAAGGCCCAGCTATAGTTGTCTGTAAGAAACCCACTTTAAATATAAAGAAACACATAGATTAAAAGTGGATGGATGGAGAAAAATATACCAGGCTAACAGTAACCAAAAGAAAGCATACGTTGCTATATTAATCTCAGACAGAGCAGACTTCAGAGAAGGGAAAGTTATCAGGGTCAAAGGGGGCAGTCCATAACGTAAAGAGGTCAATACTCCAAGAAGACATAACAATTCTTTTTGTTTGTTTGTTTTTGAAGACATAACAATTCTTTTTTTCAAGTTTTATTTAAGTAATCTCTACACCCAGTGTGGGACTTGAACTCACAACCGCAAGGTCAAGAGTCACATGCTTTTCTGACTGAGCCAGCCAGGTGCCCCAAAGACATAACAATTTTTTTAAAGTTTTTATTTATTCATTTATTTTTAGAGGGAGAGAGTGTGTGAGCGTGAGCAAGGGGAGGGGCAGAAGGGGAAGGAGAGAATCCCAAGCAGACTCTGCGGGGCTCAATCCCATGACCCCAAGACCACCACCCGAGTGAAAACCAAGAGTTGGACACCCAACCAACTGAGCCACCCAGGCTCCCCAAGACATCAAATTCTTCATGTGTATGCTCCTAAAAAGGAGTGTCAAATATGTGAGGCAAAAACTGGTAGAAGTACAGGAGAGATGGGTATATCCACTCTAATATCTATGGAGACTTTAATAGCCCCCTATCGGAAAGGGACAGATCCAGTAGGCAGAAAATTAGTAAGGACTTAGTTGAAATCAGCAACACCACCAACTAACTGGAAATAATTGAGGGGCACCTGGGTGGCTCAGTGGGTTAAGCATCTGACTCTTGATTTCGGCTCAGGTGATGATGTCAGGGTCATGAGATCGAGCCCCGTGTCGGGCTCCATGCTGGGCGTGAAGTCTGCTTAAGATTGTCTCTCCCTCTCCGTCTGCCTGTCCCCCACAACCCCCTCCCCTGGCTCGCCTGGTCCTCACCTGCCTCATTCTGATATATGCCTTGTATTTATGTGCCACACGCCTTTGTACTCAATGTATGTTTGCATTTTTTTCCTGCCTGAAATGCCCCCCCTCTCCACCCTTCCTCTGGCAAATCCTGCCCAGCCTACAAGGCCCGTATGAAATGACACCTTTTCTGTGAATTTTTCCCAAAACAGGCAGGATGAGTGGCCCCTCCTGAGTGCTCCCATCATCCTCTGTGAGCACCTCCCTCCCCCCCTGAGCGTTGGCTGTGCACACAGGCCCTCTCTCCCCTGCGTCGGAGTTCCTCTTCCTTTTTTAGCTCTGACACCTACAGTCTAGCAGGTCCTTAATCAATCCTTCTTCAGTTGAATGGAGAACTCAGGCAGGTTTCAGAGAAAAGCCAGTGAGGTCGTCCCCAGACTGGGGAATAGGCGCCTTGGGCCTGGCTGACTTAGGAGCGTTCTGCAAGCAAGGAAGAGGCGATGCCGCACAGTCAGCTAGCTCCTCGGAGGACCGGCTTCCACGCAGCAAGATGGATCCAGGTCCGCCACGCCGAGAGTTTCTTAATGTCGGAAGCTCTGCAAAGGCTTCCTAGGGGTAGAGCCTAATCTTCTTCTCTCTCTCTCTCTCTTTTTTTTAGATTTTATTTATTTATTTGACAGAGAGAGACACAGCGAGAGAGGGAACACAAGCAGGGGGAGTGGGAGAGGGAGAAGCAGGC